GGGTTTTTTCTGGAAGCCTCTCGAAGGAAGCCGGTCTCAAAAGGTGGAGATTTCCACCTGGGGTGAAAGGCTGTCGCGTGGGTGGGGGGGTGATGTCCGTCAGTGCCCCAAACCGGGTGGAATTGGTGCAAAATGCAGCCCTGCTTGGCAGCCGTCGGTGTGGGTATAACTGCTTCCCCCGTGACGGCTCTGGTAACCTAAGATCTGCGGTAAAACGTTACGTTCCTGTCATGGCGGAGGAAATGGTGCACAGCTCTGAGAAGCTTTCGGAGAAGGACCCTTCTGAGGGAGAACCAGCCGTTACTTTCAGGCAGACCCGAACGATGCAAACCTTTCTGAAATAGAGGCCGGAGACATGCTCGTGAAGTTAAAAAGCGCTGAGGGTTGTCATTGCTTGAGGGAATCGTACTTGCAGCTTGCAAGAGCAATCTCTGGTTCGCTGCAATAATTATTATTAGCATTTTCTTTTTTTTTTTTTCTGTGTACTCTTTGAAGTACCGAAACAAATAATCTTAGTAGTGAAGAAGACTCTTCCAAAGGATTTGCTTTGCCTAAGTAAGATAAGTTGTGGGTTGTTTGCCAGTTGCTTTTAAGTTTTTTTTTTTTCTGAATTAAAAAAAAAAAAAAGGGGAGAAAGAAGTAATTCACTAGGTATCATTGTGCTCTTGTTTTCAAAGTTGAAAATAAGTGTGCTGAATGGTAATCCTCATTCAGCTGCCCTGCCCCTCCCCTCCAGTAACGTGCCATGCAGAATTCCTTCAAGGTCTTTTGTCTCATTAAACAAAATATGAGAGCATTTCTCCAAGATGGTGTGACAAGTATGAAAGATTGACCCGTGGCAGAGAGATTTGTATCGTCAAGTAAAAGAAGGAGGGTGATGGGCGTTTGAAATCAAGAATGACGGTGACGACCAGGTGTTCAAATCCTAGACATTGCAACATAACCAACTGTGCTACATCACCCCCAAATTTCCACATTACACCATTTGGTTACCCAAATTAAGTTGGTTTTGGTCAACAGCAGCTCTGGAATATTTCTACTCATTGATCAGTCACTGAGATATCTCAATGTCAGTGCTCTGAAAACCGTATTCCTCCTGCCTCTGCAGACCTGCGGACTGTTCCTCATGCCTTCTCCCTCCCTCTCAGCTCTTCTGCGTGCTGGGTACGTTTTTCTCCTGCGTGTGCCGCAGGACGTTGGGCCGTTACCCAGAGGAATCCTGTTCATAGTAATAATTCAGCAGGCTTAGCTTTAAGAAACTGCCTGGTGTTCTCACCTTTCCGGGATGTATCTGAAGCATGTCTCTGAATGGTTCATTCCTATTTTACTTAATTTCTGTCTTCCTTTCCGTATGGCTTCTCTCTTTCTGTTTTTTTCCCACCACCCGAGCTTACTATTAATGAAATTAGTAAGAATAATTTAGGAAAGATACACCGAGAAAATGCATTCTGAAAGAAGATCCGTAGACGTAGTTCTTGAGACAGGAGGGGAGAGACCCGGATCGTACTGCTGGCTATATTTAGGATGGAGCACAGGGAATCCCTTCTGCAGACAGCAAAGTCGCGTTAGGTACACAGGGAAGCAAGGTGTAATAAAACGCCTTGCGGCGTGGGGCGGTGCTGAGAAGAGCTAAGCTGGCCCATACTCGGGGGATGGCTAGGCCAGTCTCACGTGTAACGGGGTCGCAGGAGGACTGAGAATTCAGACATCAGAGCTTGTGGGAAACAAAATCTTAGGAGGGCACAAAGGTGTTACCTGGTAGCTTGCTCAAAAGGGAAATAATTCGTCGGCTGTCCATGTTTCTGTTCTGTGCTGCAGGAACAGTTCAATTTCCAGCTGACCCGTATCAGATGTGCTAAAAATAGGAAACTGTCCTGTGTTGGTCAACCTGCTGCATTTGGAAGCTAAAATCTCTGAACCAAACTAGCGGGACCAAACTAACGAGAATGGTGTCTACATAGTGGCAATCTTTTTTCCTGACAGGTGTCCCACTGGCTTTTCTCTTTGCAATGCTCACTTGGAGAATGAGGGAGATAATATATGTTTATGCGGATACATGCATTTAAAGGAATAAGAATATAGCTGCCGCGTTAATTCAGGTGAGTGAACTCCGACTGTCCCGAGGAGCCTCTTGCTGCCATGGTGAAAGCGAGCTCGGGAAGTCGCATTCTTGCCAGCTTCCCCTGACAAATGAGGAGATTCATTGTTCGCTCGAGTGGTGACTCACTTTGGTCAAGCCAAATGCTGCTTAGAAAGTTGCTACCAAGTTAAAACCTTAATTAGTCTTAATAGTCCATTGAATCATTAGCTCACTGAGAACATTATACCTGGAAAAAACACTTTGTTTCTAAGCCCTGTGCAATTTAAATGAAATCCCAAGTGCTTCAAAGAGTTCAGTCAGAAGGAATGGGAGCTGACAGGACTTTTTTTTTATAAAAGAGCTTTAATTGGCTGTTAAGTTAAAGCTTTGAAGCTTTGATGGGGAAGTGTTATAGGTTAAATTAATAGGGAAAATTGAGAAACAATTAGGGCAGCTTTAAATTAATTACTTACACTATTTATTTTGAGCTTATTGAACAATTGTGTTGTATGCGTAAGTGATTGAAATTAGCCATCTGTGCAAGATAGCTTTGACCTAAATTGACCTTCTTGGGTAAGTAAGTATCTTGCCCTAATTCCTATACTGTATCCCTAATTTTACTGGCAGATGAGCTTAATTGGGGGTAAAGATGAGTGTGCCTGAGAGGTTCCATACTATTCTGTTGAAACTAGAGTCACCTGTGCAGAGCAAGGTAGGGGAGGCTCTCAAAGGGATGGCAGAGGAGATCACAGATGAGCTAAACTGTTTCTTGTTAACCCTAACTGTGCCCTGCCGAGTTCCATTCTTTTATTGTCCGGCAGTGTATCTGTACCATGTCCTACTTAGGCACATGGAGTATAACCCTGTAACCACCGTTTAGCCTGCGATTTGAGGAAAACCTAGGAAAGAACAGCCAGTTTATTTGTACTACGTGGTATCGGCTCTGCAGCACTGACAGGATCTTTTTATGCCCTGCTCTATTCTGCTGTGTTTTTTTCAGGGAGCAACAGGGGGCAACTGACTTGGAAGAAGAATTATCCAAGCAAAATATCTCAAATGCGCATGAGAAAATGTGAGCAAGAAAAAAGTTGTTCAATTTTGAAACGGAAAGGGTGAAGATATTCTTGGTGGTGATTGTTGAGACATTGAATTTCACACCCCCCCCCCGCAATTTCACCTATTTTCTAGCAGGCCCATCCCAGAACTGCTCCAGCTGGACAAGAGAAGACTCCTTACAGCAGGTGGGTGATAAGAGGATGGGAGGCAGTTCGTGGGGGCAGGTGACTTCCCAAAGGCAGGGGCGTCCCTCTCCCGTGCGAGCGTCCTGTCCCCGGGCTCATGCTTGGCTCTCCCTCCAGGTGTCAGTCTGGCACTGCGCTATCCGCCCGGCGTCCTGCCGCCGAGGAGCTGGGTATCCTCGCCGGCTCCAGGAGGTGCCTCTGCATCGACCTCCTAATTAACGAGGAACCGATACCGTGCATCGGGTTCTCACCCCGGCAGTGCCGTGTCCTGCAGACCTGTAGCGGTGCCCGTCAGGTCAGTGCCGGTATTCCTGAAGTAGCTGTGGCTCGGTGTTTGATCCTCTTCTTCTGAAGTGCCCGGCAAAACACCTCCCTCCTGACCTATGTTCGTGGGGTTCTGGCTTTTCGTATGTTTGTTGCAAGCTAAGAAATGGGAGGTGCCCTGGGACTCCTTTTCCCCCTGTTGGAATCTGCTGCCGTGGGAGAATTCGGCTTGCTCCCGGTTTCCCAGAAAAGGCATTTTGGTGCCCAGGAATGAAATCTGTCATCAGTCTGACCTTGGTTGAGAAAATATATTTGGGAATATTGGTCGAAGGTATCGCGTGGCTTCCTTTGCATCGTGCTTACGGCTGTAAGCTG